CTTAAATTATAATTTTAAAACTAAACTAAACTGCCATCATTTTTCATTTATAATCCTAAGCGCCCCATGCCCTCAAATTGCGAAGTCAAAAGTTGCATGCAAAAAACAAAAGTGCTGAGTAAGCGTTGGGTTTGAAGGTACAAAACTCCATTCCGCTGTCAGTTTTTTTTTATTTTTTTTATTTTTTGGGTAAAGATTGTAATATATTAGTTTATTAATAAAATTATATTATTATTAAAAGAACCAATGCATGCTCCATATCTTCAAATATGGAGGATCCTCTCCCAAAAACAACTCTAGCCCATCCTCTATATCCTCCTTCCAAATGGAGGAGAATGATTGATCCTCCAAATATAGAGGGAGGATGAAAAAATGGAGGATCACTCTAAAATACTATTCACTCTTTTTTTATCTTTAATTTTGTTTTTATAACTTAATATGTATATTCAATATTTATAAAATTAGTTTCATTAAAAAGATATTAACAATACCTTTAAAATAAGACCAATATTAATTATATTTAACAAAAAATTAAATAAAATAATTTAAATTTTGAAAAAAAAAAGGGTAAAATTTGAAAGAAAAGTGAGAAAATGTTCAAAATTTTGAAGAAATAGAGATGTATGATTGGAGTTGTCATAAATAATAAGATCTTCTAAACTCATTTTTTGAATAAAAAATATTATTTTGTTCCTCTATATTAGAGAAATAGAGATGTATGAATTAGAGATGCTCTTAGGTGTAACTATAAAACCATTACACCAAACTCTAAAATTCTTTGTGTCAATTAAGACCCACCTTTTCTTATTACCTTACTCTTCTTTTCTTTTCTTTCTTTTTTTCTGTTTTTTAATATTATTATTTTCTTTTAATCACCTGCATATATGAGTCAACAACACTGCTGCATACCCCCAGTGGGGGTCGCACCCCCAGTGAGGTGTCGGGCCCGCACTGGCCGAAACAAGACCCACCTTTTCTTATTACCTTACTCTTCTTTTCTTTTCTTTTCTTTTTTTCTTTTTTTTAATATTATTATTATCTTTTAATCACCTGCATATATGAGTCAACTAGATGATCTAAAAATATCTTTATCTCAATTTTTTAGAATTTTTTAATAATTAATGGAATTTCAACAGAGTGTCTCAATTATTTTAGGACCTCATATAAATCTCAAACGGAAATCTTTTAATATTTAAATATTATTTTAATAATTATTGCTTAAATTTTAAAGTCACTTATTGTTAGTTTACATAATGAATTTCTCATTATTTTTTATTTTGTTTTTTTTTTCACTAATTTTCTTTAAATATTGTATACCCTCTAGCATCCACTAATAATTTGTTTCACCAACTACAAAGATGGTTTCTATCTAAAAGCAATTGGTTTCATTTTTTTAAAAACACTTTTCAGAAAATTCTACTCTTTAATTTTTCTTTTTTTTTTTGTTTTTATTGAATTTTTAAATATTTTAAGCATTTTTTTTACTTTTTAGACACACTTAACATAAATACACCTAAAAAGTAAAAAAAATTATAAAAAAAATCTTTTAAAAATTCACTAAATACCAAAAATATAAAAAAAAATACAAGAATTCAGTATCTTTTTGTATTTTTATGTATTTATTAATTTTTAAAATATTTTTTTATAAATTTTTTAATTTTTAGATGCATCTAAGTAAGATACATCTAAAAAAGTAAAAAAAATATTTAAAATTTTAAAAATATTCACTAAAAACAAAAAAAAAAATACGAAAATCAAAAAATTCAATTTTCAAAAAACGTAATTTTAAAAACTCAAACCAAATACCAAAAAGTACTGAGCCTGTGTTTGGCAAGAACTTTTTCAGGCTTTTTTGGCTATTTTAGCCACAAAAAACAAAATAGGCTATTTTAGCCATAACAAACAAAACATCACATCCAACCTATAAAGTAAGGTAGATCTAAAAAAGTAAAAAAATATTTAAAATTTAAAAAATATTCACTAAAAACAAAAAAAAAATGAAAATCAAAAAATTCAATTTTCAAAAAACATAATCTTAAAAACTCAAACCAAATACCAAAAAGTACTGAGAAGATGGGTATTTTCTTAGGCTATGTGGATCATATTAGCCGAACAATGTTCATGATTCTTCCATGGATCGGGTTGGACCAAGTTTCGGCTGTCACATTTAGAAATATCGAATAACTAGAAAAAACACCCCCCTGCACATGAAATTATCTATGGATTGGGCGTCATCATCTCATGTTCCTCATGTCCTAAAAACCATAGTGAATATCGTATAAGCTTGAACTAAAAAAATAAAATAAATGATATGTTTACAAGAAATGTGCTCAAAAAAAAAAAAAAAGAAGGGGGAGAGAGGATGATATCTAGGCATATATTTGGCGAATAATGTTTGGGACCCCCTTTTGGGAGTCACCCCCTCACCCCCCTTTGCCACGTGGCAGGTGGTGATTGGAGAAGCAGGAAAAAAAGAAAAAGAAAAAGAAAATGTAACCAATGAGAGAGAGAGGGGGTCAAAGAGGTGGGAGGAAAAGGGGGATGAATCATTGTTGATATTTGGCAATGGTTAGGCCACTTACATAAGGGACTTCACTTATTGCATAGGCCCACAGCAGAAGTGGACATATATTGAGCTAGGCCAGGTTTGGGCCCAGCTGTCTTTCTATTACGGCATAAAGTTGTACTGTCCCAAGTTGTGTTAGGCCCAATAACTCGAGCTAATTTTCAAGCCCATTAAAAATCACATAATCCGATTCAGCTCATATAGCCCAATAACTGGAAAAACAAAAAAAAAAACAAAAACAAAAAAAAAATCCATAACTTAAATATACATATATATATATATAATACAATGTTAATTGTTAATGATTTGATGTTTTCATAAATGCTCAAACTTAAGAATTCAAATTTTTAACTGGTCGATTTGATAATTTATTTTTTCATATCTAACTACAAAGTTGAATTATATCTAGCAATGAGTCCTCAACTATAAATAGATCTTAAATATATTGCCAACTCTACTAGTTGTTTTGAGAAATTGGTTAAAAACTAGATTTTTGGCCTTTTTTCGACTTTTAAAAAAAAAAATGTGTGAAAAAGTTAAAAAATAGTGTGACTCAAAATATGTTAAAAATTGAAAGATAACTTTTAACCATCTCTTCAAAAAAGATCTTAAAATGTAATCACAAGTCCTCAAAATTATGAGTGAATTTGAGTGGTCCATCGTTAGACCACAATTGCTAAATAATTCATTATTTTTTATTTTTTTTTCTTTAGTAAAAATTATTAAATTTTTTACTTTTTAGGTTTTTGTTTAGAACAATTTAAAAACTTTTAAAAAATTAAATTAAAAAAAAAAAGCTCACCTGAACATTTCTAATAACAAAAAAATAAATAAATAAAAAATAAATAATGCAACTAAATAAAAAATTTCTAAAGCAACCCTTAGATAAATTATTTTTTTAAAAAAATAAATATTTGTTCTACCCTCTAACAAAAAAATATATATATATTTGTTCACTACTCTAATAACGCTCTGTAGAATGAAATTGTTTTATTAGACACTTGGGTGTCTTTTGGGAAGTAAGTAAAAAGTCAATTTTTAATTTTTTACCTATTTTGGCCCTGTTTGGTGGGTTTATTTCTAATTTATTTCAGTTTTTAGTTTAATTTAAGCTATTTTGATGTGTTTGGTTCAGCTTAACAATACAACTTATAGTTTTTTGTAAGTCAAAAATTAACTTATTCTTTAAGTGGGGGAGAAAAAGCTTAATTTATAAGTCAAAAATCAGCTTATGTTCACAGCTATAAGTTATAAATTATTAAGGTATAAGTTATAATCACTTTTCTACAACTCTACTAAACGGGGCCTTTAAGTCATATCAACTCTCATATTTTTTTACTCACAAAAAAACAAAATAAACTAAAAAAATCAAAAAATTAACTTTCTATCAACTTCTCAAAACACCATTTGGCTGTTTACAATTTTGGATACCTAATTGATAGACCGCACTACTACGGTTATAAAAACAGGCCAGGCTAGCCCAATCCAATCCAATTTTGTAATTTGTAACCCACCTAGAAATGAAAGGACAAATTATACTAATAATCCTCGTAGTTTAGAGGTTATATTATTTTGATTCTTAACTTTTAATTGTGGCATATTTAATCTTAAATTTTTAATCTTATTTCAAATAAAAATAATTAAAGATATTATTACTTAATTTCAACGGCAAAATTATCAATTTGATAAAATATAAATTAATTTGAAAAATAAATGTCAAAAAATTATTTTTGAATTTTTAAAAATTATTTCTAGCCACTAAAGATAAAATTATGTAAAATTGATAAATCTTTTAAACATTTATTTATTTTTTTGTTTATCAAATTAATTTTTATTATGTGTTTAAATGATAATCATGTAATAGGTGGTTGTTTTTATTTTCATTAAATTAGTTTCTATTTTTCTAAAAGTTAAATATGGTAACAATTTTGATATCATTATTAAATCAATCCATTAAATTAAAAAATTCAAAATTAAAAACATTTCACATACTAAATATACCGATTACACATTGAAATCTTAACAACCATCCATTACATGATTATCATCTAAATACATAATAAAAATTAATTTAGTAAAAAAATAAATAAATGTTTAAAAGATTTTTCAATTTTACATAATTTTATCTTTAGTGGGTAGAGATAATTTTTAAAAATTTAAAAATATTTTTTGACATTTATTTTTGTCAAATTAACTTATATTTTATTAAATTGACGATTTTGTTATTGATATTTTCAATTATTCTTATTCAAAATAAGATTCAAAATTTAAAATTATATATATCACAATTAAAAAATAAAAAATTAAAGTAATATAAATTTTATAGGGACGGTTTGTAATTCGCGTTATCAAATTTGTAGGACTTGTCTAGGTTGAAATTTGTAGGACTTGTCTAGAAACTTTCGATATCAACGGGGCCAACTCGACAATTTCAAAGAATCTTTTCGCCTCGCCCACCTTCGCCCTACCCTACCCTTCTCTACTCTGTATATTTCTTTGCAGAAATCCTCACTTTCCTCTCTCTTGCTAGCCAGTCATGGCTATGCCCCAGCACCATCAGTTCCAACAACAACAACAACCACAACCACCTAAACCCTTTAGGTAATTCTAGTCTCATCATCATCATCATCATCTTCACAAACCCTAACAATTTCAATTTCTTCTTTCTCAATCACATGTATATTCAATTTGTATTTATTTATTTTGATTTCATTGTGTTTCAGAAATTTGTACAACATCGACGGTCAGATTTCGTCTCCGGTCGCCTATCTCGACGGCCCTCATCTCCCCGTTCACTCCCAGCATCCTCCATATATACCTCCCTGTATCTCTCTCTCTCTCATTTGTGTTTGTTTTATTAATCTGCACAAATCTTGCTGATTAGGGTTTGGTTGTTTGTGATTTTCAGTTCACGTTGTTGGGTTCGCACCTGGTCCGTTTCCTGCTGCGGATGGAAGTGACGGTGGAGTCGAATTGCAATGGAATTACGGTTTGGAACAGACGAAAAAGAAAATCAAAGAGCAAGATTTCTTGGAGAACAATTCCCAGATGTCTTCCGTGGATTTCTTGCAAGCCCGATCGGTCTCGACCGGTCTAGGTTTATCACTTGACAATGGTCGCTTGGCTTCCTCTGGTGATTCCTCTTTCTTGGGTGTTATGGGTGATGAGATTGATCGCGAGTTACAGCGACAGGACGCTGAGATTGATAGATTACTCAAAATTCAGGTCTGGGTCTTTATTATCTTCATAGCTGATCTAGTTAATGTGGGAAATAAAAATTAAAATATAAAAAAATTGGGTTTTTCTTTTTTGACTGTAATTTGCTAATGTTTTCTTTTGGTATGGCACTCAAGCTTATTTGAATGAATGTATATGTTTGTATGTATCTCTACATGAGAGTGTTTTCTTCCATGGTTTGGATCATATTTGTTGCCATTACAATCTTTGCTTCATATGTTTGATTTATTTGCTAACTCCTAAATTAAATTGGTTTTATGGTGTTTTGGGTTTTTGTTGTCAATGCATATCCCGTGAATGACCGGCGTTGTGAGAGTGGCAATTTGTGGGCTTAATATATTGTAAAGATTTTATAATGTAAATGTATTTTTATCTGCAATTGTTGTTTGTATGTGAGAGGTTATCCCGCCAAAATTGGACTAGCTTGTTGCCTTTCTAGAATATGGATGAGGCAGTTGAGTTTAACCTCACATGTTCTTGGAAAGCTTATAACTGTTTTTTTCACACTTACTTGATTGGGAAGAGAGGGTGGGTATGCTGCCAAAACTGAATGAACTTGCTTTGTTTACATATAAATGATGCCACTTGACTTTCTGTGCCGCTAAAAGCATACATGTTTCTTTTTGGCACCAACACGTGTTTGCTATCATGCAAAACATTATATCATTAGGTTGTGTTTTACGTCTTATACAAATTGTACAGCTAATTTGCATCAGATTAGACATAAATTCTAGTGGTTGTGAATGGGATCAGTGATTAAATTCGAGGCATTCAATGGAAATCAGTTGTGATGTTGGCTTGTCCAATGGTACTATTTTGTTTCTGAAACCATTTCCACTAGACTGGTGTTAGAAATTTTGTATGTTTTCCTTTTGATGCTTTTATTTCGATGCTGGCATTCAATTTTCATGCTGATGCCCAAATATGCCTTGATTTTATTCCCATGCAACTTCTGAATCCGCAAATTAACAATTAATGCTATGTTAAGTTAATTGGATTGGAATATGAACCCAATTACTAGATTAGTAACTTGTAATCAATGTTGAATGATGTGAATATGGAAACCTTGGAAATTTTTTACAGTAGGGAATTTTGGTTCAATTGACAAATGTTAGCTTGTATTTCTTATTTAATTATTTTGTACTTGCATTAAAATAATCTGTTCCTTTTTTCCTTGACTATAAAAGGTTGACCGATTGAGACAAGAAGTTGTAGAGAAGGTTCAGGCAAACCAACTTCAAACTATATCATATGTTGAAGAAAAAGTCCTTCAAACACTCCGTGAAAAAGAAGCAGAGGTGGAAAATATCAACAAGAAGAATATGGAGCTTGAATTGCGAATGGAACAGTTGGCTGTGGAAGCAGGTGCTTGGCAACAACGGGCCAAATACAATGAAAGCATGATTAACACCCTTAAGTTCAATCTTCAGCAAGTCTATGCACAAAGTAAAGATAGTAAGGAAGGGTGCGGTGACAGTGAGGTTGACGATACGGCCTCTTGCTGCAATGGTCGTGCTATTGATTTCCACCTTCTTTGCAAGCAGAACAATGAAAGGAAGGGGTTGATGACTTGTAAGGTTTGTAGAGTTAATGAAGTTTGCATGCTTTTGTTACCTTGTAAGCATTTCTGCTTGTGTAAAGCATGTGAGAGTAAGCTTAGTCTCTGTCCCTTGTGTCAGTCCTCAAAGTTTATGGGCTTGGAGGTCTATATGTAATAGGATAATGTGAAAGTCTAATGCTATATTAATCTTATATGCATTGTTCTTGTTGTTTTTCATTTTTTCCTCGTTGATGTCGGCATGTTTCTTTCCTTTTTTTGGTGCTTCTGTGTCTTGTACACTTTGGAGATTTTCTTGCTTGTGCATGGGTTTTGCTTTCTGTGTACAATTGGTGTATAATTGAATTTCTTTGGTTTTATATTGAAGGTTATCTTTAATGGCTTTATAACTTGTTTGAGGCTGTGCCGGTATTTGTTTTGCATGTGTATTGCAAAAGGAAAATTGGTCAATACTACCATTATGCATTTTCTTTGTATAAAAAATTTTCATTAGTGCTTGGTGTCAATCTTATCTAGATTCCGTGGAGGATGTAAGAACACTTCATCTGAAAACATCTGCTGAGAGTGTCAGTGATGCTGGAGGATAGTAAATGAATAATTTGGAGTAACTTGATAAAGGAAGAATGTGTCAGAACACAAATCGAGTTTTAGACATTGCACAAATAATGCTAGAGGTTAGGTGTATATCCAGTCAATCCCTTTTAGCACTTGAATTAGCTGGACCATTTGTGTACTAGATGCTAGAAACCTTCGGTTTTGGGCACCTTAGCTCAACTTTGGCATGGTTTGGTCTCTGAAACAAATGTTAGAGTCTTAAACATCATTTTTCCATTAAAAACATTAAAATGCATTTGAGAAATATAGCATTTTATGTATAAAATAGAAGTCTAATGCATTGTTATATAATAAACCAACTATGTATACATACATACTTGTTTTGACTAGGCGTATCGGACACATCCCATTCCCTTACCCAAGTATGAAGTGTTTGACACAAATACTTTACAAATTTAAAAGTCCTTGTGACATAGTTCAAAATCTTGACTTTTTGTCCTCTAAATTGGCCTAACATTCTTTTTTTGTTGTCCTTGTTTATGGAAATAAGGGAGTTATGAAGCAGTAACACAAGATTAATACTGATGTTACCAGCAATATTTGATTGGATCTCCACTATTAGATTGCTTATGCATGGGCACATGCATGAAGGTGATATTAGAAATGTTAAGAGATGAGATGGTTTTTTTTCCTTTCTCATTAGAAATGTCAAGAAGGTGATTGCCTCATTAATTCTCATTGTATTCATCCAAGTTAGAGCAGAAGGTTTAGGGTGAGTTTGAATGGACTGTCAGCTGTGATGACTGTATGACTTTCTGCAGCTAGAGTAGTCACAAGCTATTCATATACAACTAAATTTGCCCTTACGCAAGTTTTTAAAATTAGAGGCTTAAGATGTATGTAATACTAAATTTTGGTCTGAGCAAGTGTGAGGGTAATGGAACTGAAAGTATTGAGGTGTCTATGTATTCATGATTCTTGTGGTTTAAAGTTGTCGGGAGTGTTTTGTGTGAACTGTGCCACTTTCATTGATGCTTAAATTTTGTGAATTACTTGGTATTGGGAAATATCTTTTTCCTACCTAAAATCTACTACAGGGAGTCGTAATTGCTAGGAATAGAGATGGTGTCTAATATGCCTACTCCTTGTAGTTGCTTGTTGAGATTTCTGGTTGGCTTGATGCTCTTTCGCGGCATCTATGGCTGGTCATTCAGCTGTCTTGAAGTTGCAAGAATTGTTGTGCATTTTTGGCGTTCACTCCCATCAAAGTTGAGTAATAGAAATATTTGAAGTTCAGGTCAATATTCTTCTTTAAGTAGTCATTTTGTATGGTGGGCGTTGGGACCGCTGAATTTCATAGTTGCTATATTAGCCTTTCAGTTAGTTCAGGAGTTTATTTATGGATCTTGGCTTTCAAGTTTGACAACTGATGGTTAGAAGATTATTTGTGTAGTGTATTTTTTCCTGGACATGAGAGAAAAGATGTTCATAAATACTGCTGGACTTTGTTATGTCAGAAATATTGATGAATTTGTACATTGAATTAAAGATCATTTGTTGTCAGTGCTTAAACATGATCCGCAGATTCAGGTCTTCCTCAATCAGAGGCTCTTGCCCTCTTATTGCAGCCTGCATCTATATCATTTGTTATTTTTTTTTTTTTTTTTTTTGCAGCTCTTACTCTCTGATGGAGATAACACCTCAATAGCTATGAAACTTTCCGATTTTTATTTTTTATTTTCATTTTTAAGGTATGGGACTGAAATTGTGAGCATTGCTCTAATGAGTTTATTTGGTGCATAGCTACATTTTTTATTAAGAGCTAGGTGTTTTCAGGGTTTACAAGGATTTCCGACTAGGTTTTCCGATCAATGAAGTATTACTCTTCCCTCTTCCCAACGAGCAACCAAAGATTAGCAAGATTAGCTTCCATTGAAGACGATCCTACTCTCATATCAGTAATTTCTCTTTTTCATCTTCCATTTGCTTTGCTATATTCACTCGACTAATTTCTAGATCCAAATAGCAAAACCTTAGCTTTTATGGAAGAGCAGAGCAGTGTTATATAGTACGAAATCAGAGTAATTGGAAATCGGAGTACTCCAACCAACTCATGTAGTCGGACTAGCGCCTTTTTTTCATGGCAATTAGGACCAGTGGGTGGTTATGAAAATGAAGTTGAAAAATAGCACATATTCATGACTGACAATTAGGACCAGTGGGTGGTTATGAAAATGAAGTTGAAAAATAGCAAATATTCATGACAAATAGGACTAGTGGGTGGTTATGAAAATGAATAGCAAATAGGAAAGTTTAGTTGAGTAGTCCACTTTTTTGGACAAATTTAGTGGAATTTTTTTTATAAAAAGTAAACATGATTTATTCAAAGGGTCGAATGGAAGCAGGGAGGAAAGGTTTCGTATTTGCCAACGTTTTGCAATGCTAAAGTCGAGTGAACAAATTGTAGGGCCTAACATTAAAGCAACACTTATAATTGAGCAAAATCCTTTCACAATTTGCCCTTATTGTCCACCTGTAATTGCGAGGTGAGTTTAAGTTTGTACTTGAATGAGTTGAAATGCTACTTAAGCCCTTGTTTAATCTCTATTTGGATCATAGATTTGGATTAAAAAAAAATTATAAAATAGATAAAATATAATTATATTTTATTCACATTTTCTTTTTCCTATTAGAAATTTCTACCAAAATCCATGATATCTTAAATGATATGAAAAATTATTTATGTTGTGTTTGATTAAGGGATTTATGAAGGAATTTGGAAAGGAAAAATGAAAGCAAAAGGAAAAGGAAAAAAATATATAAAATTAAGTGAAATATAAACATATTTTATTCATATCTCACATATCTTTTTCTTTTTTTTTCTTTTTTCAATTTTTTTTTTAAATCCTCCAACCAAATATAGTGTTAGTGTCTCAGAAATATCACGTGATTATACCACCATCACTAAGATAAATAAGTGAATCTTACTTCTTCTTTTTTTTACCGATTACAGTCGATTTGTGTAGCACCACCTCTGCCCCTAGGCAGGAAATAACTACTACTTTGCATGACTATTAAGAGCTCTCTTTTTCACCTTTTTAAGTTATTCTCTCAATGCTTCTACCATTTTAGTCTGACCCAAAGTTCCACGTTGATTGTATTATGCAACTAATGTTGGGTTCACATTGTCACAACAATTCTTGCAATAACTTTCATCCTTTCTCTTACCCCAAAAATCTTTATAAAAATATATATTATTAACCAATATTTTTGTTGTATCACATAAATTTTATATATCAAAATACCCAAATTTTTATTGCTAAACATATGTTTAAGAATATAAATATATTCATCTAAAAGAAGGAATAGTAAATGGTTAATTGGGCATGAATTTTTTTGTTTTTGGAAACAAGACAAGAACATCTCATTGTTTACTGGTCTTAGGGGAGGATAGAAGAACCGTAATTCAAACTCAGCTGGTGAGACACAACCAAGGGTCCAAGCCATTGGGTCAAATGCTGTCCTAAATGGGCATCTACTTGGGCCACAAAGAAGCACCAAGTTTTTAACTTGACTTTTTTTATTTTTATTTTTTTTAAATATTCAAAAGTTTAAACCCAACTAAGAACTGTCACCTAATCACAAAGTTATAGGAATGCATAACACAAACTTTTTTTTAAAAAAAAAATATTTCATTATTATTGGTTATTGTAGTTATGGTTGTAAATGAGCTAAGTAGTAAGTTGTTAAGATTGTCTTAAAAGCTTAATTATCTTGAAAATGTTTTGTTTATATAATGAACTAATTTTAAATGAATGTTTAACAAGTTAAACATAAGTCGAGTTCAAATAATTTGATTTTAATTTTGATTTTTAGTTTTTATAATGCATATAAACTTATCTAGTTAAATAGTATGTAGTAAATTTGATTTTAAAATTTAATAAATTTAAAAAATGTGTTTAATTATATGATAAATAAATCTCAAATTAACGTTTAATGGGTTGAACTTGGATAGCTTGATTGATTTTATAGTAACCTTTTTAGCATGGAAGAAGCTTTGGGAAGCAAGTATTTACTTTGCATTTTGGAGGAAGAAAAAGAAGAAGAAAAAAGTATGGGAGGGAAAGAAGAGGATGCTTTTCTTTTTTCTTTCTTTCTTTCTTTTCTTTTTCTTCTTTTTTTTTTTTTTTTTTTTTTTTGGGGGGGGTTTTTTTTTTTTTTTTTTTTTTTTTTTTTTGGGAGGGTAGGAGTGAAGATTGATAAGCCTTTTATTCTAATCATGCCTTAGAAAGTGATGACAAAGAGGAAAGTGAATATGCAAATGCTTGTCCTCATGATTATTATTATTACTATTACTACTACTACTACAATATGCCTCTCTCTCTCTCTCTCTCGCAATCTATTATTATTATGGTTTGTTTTAATTATTCCACCTCCACTTCCACCTCCCACCGCATACCGGAGAGCCGATCTCTGTCCTTTCATGCTTTTCGCTTTTCTTTTCTACCTATTGGTCTCATCTCATCTACCACTTGCATCAAATACACACACCAAATACATATATATACATATATATATTAATATATTAATTTGAACATCTTAGCTGGTGTAAATTTAAAAATGAAATTATGTATTTTGCTTTCATCTTGTAAGATTTATTGAACAA